GAAGAAAGATTTTGTGTAAAATAGACCATGTGATAAGGTGTGAAATAGGCCAGATTAAATGTGCATTCAAAATCTATAAATTTTTCCTTGACAGAAAACTTGACAGAATCATATGGAAAGCAGGACATGAAATCAAAGAATCAGTTAAGGATGCCTTTGAAGAATATTGCTGCAAAGTAAGATTAGCACCACCCTCCCCGCGCTTTGAAATACATGATACAAAAGAGGAAAATTCACCTGCATTTGAAAAACTTGTTGATGATGAATGAAAATCAATAAAAATGTAAATAGGTATTTTTTTATTTTATTATTAACATTTTTTTACAAAAAAACATCTATTATTTTATCATAATTGTTTTTTAATTACATTTTAAGATTTAATACGTGTCAGTAACAATGTATTTGTGTTTCTTCTCCGCGTTTTTTACAGTTATTTCATTTTTATTTTAAAATCATAATTAGAAATTCAAATATTAAAGTATTTATTTGAAAAAAGAGCAGTAGTGACTAGCGGCCAATAAAATACCATAAGAACTGCTTTTGGATCTTTACATTCAGAATTTCGTCTAGTTTCTATGATAAAATATAATGTGTATTAATTAAATTTAAATTAAGCAGAATAAATATATATTTAATCGAAATACTTAAACCAAAGTGATTTTATAAAAAAGAAAATAAAATACAAAATTTAATTAACAATTTTTCCAAAAAATATTTTTTCATAATTCAACAACAATCTCATTAATTCCCTACAAGTTAATACCTGTTTAGAATTATATTTTAAACATTTTTCAATAATATAGCTTTCTTCCTTAAATAAAGACTTAAATTCCTCAGGAACTTGTTCATATTCTTTCATCCGTCGTATTGTAATATCCTTTTCCATAACAGTTTTCATAGGCCATAACATTTCAAAATAAACCAAAGCTGCGCTATAAATATCTGAAGAAAAACTTGCTTTAGTATACATACCAGATTCTTTACATCCGTATCCGCTGTCATATTCTTCAATAACTTCATCAACCAGTTTCATATGTCCAAAATCACATATTTTAACAATGAAATTTCCATTCCTATTATAAAATAATATATTGGCAGGTTTAATATCTCGATGGACGATGCCATTCGAATGTAGATACGAAAGTCCTCTTACAATATCTTTAAATACATAAAAAATATTTTTTCTATTCACGTTCGGAATACTTAAAATTTCATAGTAATTTCTTGAAACAAAATCAGATAGCAATATATGTTCTGAACATATAGATTGTTGTATATCATTTTCTTTCTTATCTAATATTGCGATATTTCCATTTTTAGAAGTAATTCCTTCCAAATTGATTATCTTTTTACACACATTGTCATTGCGAAAATACTGTTCATTCCGCATATCAATTATAAATCTTAGTGAAGTTTCACAGAGATCGCACAAAATATAAAAATATATTTTCTTTGTTGGATCAAAACTACCATAAAATCCATATCCTTTCGATGATGAAACAACACTTGATTGACTGCTGGAGCTTAATGAAATAGAAATTATATCACTATTTCTATTACTCGACGTATAAAACAAACCAGGTCTTAAAGAATCATTCAGCATTTGAGAAAGTGAAATGTCAACATCTGAATCCGAATCAGAATCAGAACAAGAATAAAAACGACTATCAAAAAATATAGAATCCTTATCATAAAGTTTTGACTTATCATATAACCATTCTTCATCAATAGCAGTAGAAGGCCTTGAATCACTTTCACTTTCTTCATGAAACTGTTCTAAAAAAGATGGTCTTTTAGAGACAAACAATGCTGTATATTTTAAAATATTCCTATGATTGATTTCTTTGGGTAATATTTCTCTAAAAACCTCTTCAATATATTCCTTTGAAGATATTTCTACCTCCTTAAGTGCAAATAATTCCCCGGTACTGTTATTCCTCATTTTATATACTTTTCCATACGAACCTCTTCCAATAAGTTCCAATGCAGTAAAAGATTTCCAAAAACGTTGTCTCATTATAATTTTAGCCGTTGTATTTTTTTATAAAATAATATATTTTTAATTTAAATTAAGAACCAATTTTGGAACGATACAAAAAGACATATTTTTTTTAGAAATGATGATTATGTTTTTGTATAAAAAAGTAAATTTTAAAAATATTTTTCTAGAAAAAACAATTTATTTTTTTCCATTTAAGTAATAAATGTAGTTTTTAATTTATTTTGTGGTTTTTAAGGAAATGTTTCGTATATTTTAACATTCTTTTTTTTAGAGATGTTTAATTTTCTAAAATTTATTTCCTAAATAGAGTTTGTAAACCAATTCTCATAATATTCGCTTTTTTTTATAAAAATTCAAAACACTAATTAAATTCCTTTCATTTTTATAGACACAAGGAAAATAATTGTAATATTTTAACATTTAAAACAGGGAATATTTGTTCAAAAATTTGCTCCTTTTTTACAACCTCCAATTCCACTACCAATATTTTCTTTTATCAAACCTTATTTACAAAAAAAATATTAAATCCAAGAAAAGGAAACATTTAATATTTTTACCTGTAAAAGAATCTTACATTAAAGGAAATATTGAAACATAAATCCAATAAAAAAGAAATATTTTTACCTGTAAAAGAATCTTACATTAAGTAAATATTGAAATTATAAACCTAAGAAAAAGAATTTAAATTAATTATAAAAAATATAATTAATAACATTACATTTTACGTTGAATTTCTTTACAAAGAATATTTTTCTTCTAAAAAAAGTTATAAAATATAAAAAAATAAAATTTATCTGGAAATTATTCTTCTAAAAATTTAGATGAGAAATTATTCAGTTTTGTTATTAAGAAATAATTTTGCACAATTATTTTCATATTTTAATTTATAAATAAATATGAGAAATTATTCTGTTTAGATATTAAGAAATTATTTTGCACAATTATTTTCATATTTTAATTTAGAAATTTATATATTGATTAAGTTTTTAATCTATCAATATTTCAATTTAGGTTTTGGTTGGTAAAGCTGATAAATTGTAAGATGATGTTTAATTAAAGTGTTGATTAGACATCATGATAACATATATTTAAGTTTTAAATAACAAGAATTACTGATAAATTAAAATTTTTAATATTTTAAAAGATACAAATTTAATATTCAAATAAAACAATATTTAATCTTAAAGTGTTCTTATGAAAAATAGTTAATATACATATTATATAGTTATAACTTATATTACAGCCTAAGTAAATTGTTAAATTATATTTTAAGAAAATAAAATGTCAAATTCTAAGTATGAAATAGAAAGTGACCGGGAGAATAAAATATAATTCTATTTTTTTTATACGTTTTATGTATTATTAGGATTTATACAGCTAGATCGGGACAATATTGAATAGAAAATTAGAAACGAAACGCATATTTCCGGTAAATAATTGCTTATTTTAAATAGAAAAAGTATCATAAGAGAAGTCATTAGAAGAAACCTTTGAAATCTTTAATTACAATTTTTTTGGCTAAATATAACAGATAAAACTACAATCCGAGTCAAATAATGCTAGAAATATTCTGTTTGTGTGTATGTGTAATTCTTAAAAATGCACTAAGAAAGTGAAAATTCGGATCTACGGTAAAAAAGTGTCCTGCTATATTCAGGATATAAATGTACTTCGCAAAGCATAAGGAAGGTTTCGTGACTTTAGCCCATTTGATGAACCGTAAGCTATTTAGGAACAGAGATGGATGAATATACAGACAAACCTTACTATTTGACAATAAAATGTTTTTTTTCCGAGCCTATTTCTCAAAAGTAAATCTAAGGTTAATTTTACAAAACAAATCTGGTGTCTTCTTCTTTAAGAAATTCTTAAATGCCTATCTATGAAAAGATTATACACAAAAGTAATAACACATTCCAAATTAAGAATCAAATACTGATATTCTCAATGTTTTAAGTATAAAAATAAAATTACCTCAATTAAAGTTTAAATTGATTCCCAAAAACTCAATTCAAATTGTTGAAATCTAGAAAATAAGAATGTAGACTCATTGGCAAATGAATTAGGTCTTATTTATAAGTTTGTTTAATTATAGTCTTTTAAGTAAAAAATATAATTTTGTATTATAACTAAAACTATAAACCTTCTATCTTATCAAGTTCCTTTACCTGCAAAAATAAAAGCAAATATTCTGTCTATAGTACGTTAAAAAACAAAGGAAACTACTTTTTTTTGATTGAATAGGATTATTTGTGCGAAAGAAGGCAGAATAAATCGTTAAAAAGCATCATTTGATGCTATATAAGAAGTTGATGGAATAAAAAAATTTACCCACCCACCCTAAAAGTTAACGGAAAAAAGGCAACAGGACAAAGATCAAATAATAAGCCAAATGTAGGTAGAATTACCAAACCAAAAGTATTGACTTAAAGCATAGAATGTGAGTCAAATATAAAACAAGCCAAAACCAAAAAGACAAAGGGGTAGAGTAAAGCAAAGAGGACCAAGAGACAATAATACACTAAAATTTAATTTTCTTTGATTTTTTTTATTTTAAAATATTTAAATCCTTAATTTACAGCCACATCGGGATTTGGTAAAAATTAAAATTTTTTTTTATTCCGATATTTTAGTCTAAATTTGATAAAAAGTCATTTTTTTATATTTATTTCATATTAGATACTTTAAAATTAAAAATATAAATTTATTTTTGACCTTATCGGTGAAAGGGAGATAACTAAATTACATTAAAAACTATCTGCTTGGTAATGAGTGCGTATAATTAAGCAAAAAAACCATTGCTGCCATTGTAGTGGAATTTAAAACGAACAAATTTAGGCTAATTTTCTATATACGAGTTACAACAGATTAAAAGAAACAAATGGAAAAATTTCGTTTGATTCTTGACACTGAGCGTTAAAAGAGGATTGGAATAAGTAAGTAATTTTAAATTTATAAAATGAAAGAAACATTTCATAAAATGTCAACTTTAAAAAAATAGCATCGAAAGGATTCGAACCGATGACCTCTGGGTTATGAGCCCAGCGCGCTGACCTCTGCGCCACGATGCT